CGGCGGTCACGGTCAACCGTTGGGCGATTGGAGTGCGCGATTTTTGGGGCCGATCTTTTCTAACCCGTCCTTCCTCGGGGGAGGCAGCATCGGGTGGCAGCTTTAGGTCGGGTGAATGTTATCTAGAATAAGCCAGGATAAAGCGGCTTAGTGGCAGTCATCTAGGAGGTGTTGAAATAAGGAGAGCCTGATGGACGCTTGAGTTCCCATACTTCAGCTCCTCCCAAATTCAAGCGTCAGACCTATGTCGTCTTGAGACCAGAATAGCTTCAGTCGCCGAGGGTCATTAGGTCAAACCGTTTGTTGACAAGAGCACTCAGTTTCGAGTCCTAGAGGTTGTTCAGCCTGAAAGAGGGCAACCGTTGGCAACACACTGCATTAAAATGAATTGCCGTGTGTCACGTCCAAAAGGCACGTTTTTGACAATGATAGTTAAAAAGGGAACTTGACAACTTACATATACGTGTGATCTGAAACCCCTGCCTTCCCCATTTTTGGAAGCCATAGGGGTGTCAAGGGATTTGATGCAGTATTACGTGTTTTACCACCAACTACCAATTCCCCTGCAACTATGCGCGATCATTTGGTAGTTTGCCTACTTTTGACAGGCAGGTTTGACGGACTGGGTTTTGATTCTTTCCTTCTGTTCTTATTGTGTACATCCTGATTCCCCGTTTCTGTCGTTTTGGTTTTGCTCCTGTAACACCTTTTTTGCTTTTGACCTGAACGTAAACCGTTCTTTGACTTTGTTATCGCACGTGTTGTTTAAATCTCCCCGTGGTTTCGACATCGTCGCCCTGAGTCGCTGCTGTAGTATATGGGGTCTGTCAGTTTGATTAATTTATATGTGAGTATTGGTGATGTACAACCTTGCTTACTGGGCTTCGGCTCATGAGCTTTGTTTTTGTTTTCCATCCACAGAAATTGTCGTGAACTGCTGTCTTCGGAGAACCACTGTCCCCTGGTGCTTCTGTAGCTTTCATATTATATCATTAGTGACACCGCCAGTAGGGTTACCACACACGGTGAACCTGCCACAAAGGCCCTGGCTCTACATAGGTGCATACAGGCCTCAGAGCTAATACGTTGCTAAATCACACACGGTGGACGCAGCCCCAGACACAGCAACCTCTGCACACGCTCATCAGCCTCACGCACCACACCACTAGCCCCGGCCGGTTTACGTAGTCCATGGTACACCGAGGACGGTGTTCTTCAAAAGGGGGACAAGTGTAATATATGGGGTCTGTCAGTTTGATTGATTGTACAATCTTGCTTAATGGGTTTCGGCTCACGAGCTTTCTGTGTGTTTTCCATCCACAGAGACTGTCGTGAACACCTGCCTTCGGAAATCACTGATCCCCGGTGCTTCCATAGCGTGCATATTACACTTTGGACTTTGGGATCAAATAGGAGTTGGCAGTTTCTAAACTGGCGTGCAGAAACCAGCACAGTGGCCCACGCCGGTGCTTCCATAGCGTGTATATTACACTTTGGACTTTGGGATCCAATAGGAGTTGGCAATTCCTAAACTGGCGTGCAGAAGCCAGCACAGTGTCCCACGATTTGAGGTTTGTGCAGTTTTTATTTTACTGTTGTATTTATAGTACCACATTTGTTGATAAACCCCCATTCGAACGACTTGGATTTGGGGTCTTGCGCGTAACCCATCGCGGCCCAAATGATTGTCGGAAGCAATCTATACTGAGATGCTGGCCTCTCCTACTCAAAATAGGTCATTTTATGGTAGAAGAAAAACACAGGCAAACTTGTCTCTTAACAATTTTAAATTGTAAGATGCGGTTAAAATAAAACAAAGCAAGAACAAAAACAAACTTATTGAAGTAGCCTCTTACGGAATTCCGGTGTCACTAGGATGATTTTGAGATGGTAGAGTTACAGTCGGTAATGGGATTGTGTTCGTAGCGTTGCCGTGGTGTAACCGAAAATGGGAATAGCACGAGCACGAATCGACCCTGACAACACGCAACAGACTGAAGCATCCAGAAAAAATTGCGTCACTCAGCACTGTAGTTTATCAATCGCAGATGTCAGAGTTCAATGTGAACTCATCATTAACAAAATTCAGACCCTAAACCAGACTACGGATCATGTCAAGCTGTCGTATAAAACTGTTGACAGCCGCAAATGTGGCCGCCCTAGGTACTTTTCTGAAGCATTCCAACTGCAAAGCTAGCTGTGCTTATCCGAGAGTCCGGTTCACTATCCGGGGTTCGCTTACTGGTCGAAATGATACCGAGTTAGTAGAAACTTTCTCATCTGATTTTGCTGCATTAGGGAGTCACAAAGTGTAGACTGTCTCATCACAACTGTAAGTTATGCGTGTGTTGTGCACCACCTCTAGCTGTCATATTTTCGTTCTTCGATGTGTTTGGACGTAGGACTGGATACCCGACGTAACTGGCGCGTGAATCCAGGGATGGTAGTGGACTTCTTATAAAGAAACACTGGTATGGGAAAGCTCGGATTGGGAACGAAAACTTGATCACATTCACCCAAAAGAGCGCGCGAACGAGCCATGTATTCCAAATTCTTTGATGAGCAACGTGCCAGATCTCGGGATATCCTCATTAAGAAATACGTAAAGACAGTCACTACCGATTATTTTTGGTCACGGTTTCTGAATTTTGCATTCAATTAATTAGCCCCGTTTGCAAAATCCGCATGTTTGAGGAACGGAGGCTGTTCGAGAGAGTTGATCGACTGGAATATGGAGAACGTGACAAAATCAGGGCGACCTACGAGGCGTCGTCAGCTGTCTATCGTGTGAAATGTATCCCCCCCCCAACATCACCAATCAAATGTTTTAAATTCTATCACTATTCCGAAGGTACGGATAGTCAAAAACTGGCATTTTGTGAACGTCCTCAATTTGCACTAATTTTTCTCTCTATAACAACCTTCAGTGCACTGCATCAGCCTAAACTGGACCAGCCTAGACCAGCCCAAACCACTCGAGAACGATTCGTTTCCTCGCTAAGGATATCATAGGATCCTCTTGAGCTAGATCACCCGGGCGAACGNATCATAGGATCCTCTTGAGCTAGATCATCCGGGCGAACGAATTTGTCCACTAGTTCAGTTGACCGATTTGAGAGCCTAGCGTTTGATTCCACTCCTACCAGCGATCGCAGCAGGATGTCAAAATCTGCACTTGTAAAAATCCGTTTTTGAGGAGTTGGAAGTGTGAAGAACAAAATCACTCGTTTTTCTGCATCTGTGAGCGAATGTCCCTTGGGTAGGGGGAACAACGCTAGGACAGATTCCTCTGCGTTATCATATCGACGCCAATGTTGTAACAGAGAAGAATTAGGGTACAGACCCAGCTGACGCGAATGGATGTAAAGAACTTGGGCGAGGTTACAACATAATCCTTGGAATAATTAAGGTTTATGAAGAACATTCTGTTCCATAGATTGTCACATTGTCAGATTCAAAAGAAATCTTCAAGTCATTGGAAAAAACTTCTGGGTGATAGAAGCATTATCGATCTTTCAGGATCAGTCGGAGAGTAAATATGCGACAACATATTATGGGTCAGTCCAGCGTCTATCGATTAGACCAGAAATCGCTTTGAGTGCCGCAATTACCAGGCTAATGCCGTGACATAGTCTATACAGTGACCCTTTTGGGTAACAAGTTTCGTCAGGACTACTGCATACCCTTTCAAATGAATTGGGTACAAATTTTCCTGGACTGGCGCTAGTTAATCTGTTCTGACTGATCGGTCGATTTTAGCACTGTGCGCTTTTGCGAGCAAACGTCTACACCATCCTTTTCACTCCTTGTTTCCCTGGGATTCGAATTTCTTTAGACAACTTACCAAACCTATCAACCTATCAAAGCACAGATATTGCTTGTGTCAAAACCCTCGTCAATCTCCTCAGCCTCAGAGCTGTAACGCTTTCTTCAGAACTCTCACTATCGGTCGTATATGAAATCTGTTTTCGCGCCTGCGTGTACTTTCTGTCTTCGGTCGGGATTAGGCTTTTCCTCACACCGGATTGAATTTGAACTTCATTAGCCTATAGCCGATTAGTGACTTGAGTGGAAGTAAAACACCAATTTTTCTCTCTGTAGCATCAAGGCTGATCCCATTTAAATCCCCACTATTTCCTGCTTGTCTTATCCCTCATCTTTTGCGTTTGATTTTCCGTCGTAAGTTCGAGCTTGGTTTGTGTTACACTAGCTTGGCAACAATCATTATCACTATTGCCCTTACGTGGCACACCGCAACAAGTACGGCTGCCGCTCGACTGGAATCGCCGCTTCTATAAGGATGGAAATGATGCATAAACTGTCCGCCCACCTTGTTTTCACCGCGCGGACGTAATCCTAGACTAATCAATGCAGTCCTGAGTCCATTGTTTCAGTGTTCAATACCGGGAAACGCGTGTCGCCACGGTTCACATCAACTATGCAATCATTTGGACCAGTCTATATTTAATTCACCTTATATTGTTACATATGTAAGGTGATATTTGCCCTTTGAAAAAAGTTCTACATTGCTTTAGACGCTATGGCGACTGTGCCACGTTCCGAAAATAGACATCTTTGGATTAACTTCCTGCCGCGTATCGTAGTCCCGAATATACTTGAAGGGAAACACCTTTATCTACGCTTATTATTTGATCGTCTCGTTTTTTTAACTATGGATATAAGAATGAAACAATGCAAAAAACGAGCCCGTTTCCGGCGATTGGGTTCGTCAGATAGGGCTTCAATGAGCCCGACAACAGCTGTGTTGTCAAAGCGAAAGAAATGGAAAACAAAGATACAGAGAAGAGTCGTAATGGCCCAACAGCCTTATTGAGCATGACCTCTGTGTCCCTCAATCGCTCAAAGTTCTCTCTAGAGGGTGATTTTCTTCGGGCTAATTTGTTCTGTTGAAGTTGAATATTGCTTTTGAATATCCAGGTTGAGTATTTAAATAACACCTATGATATGCTCTTCCTTTCCGGTTATTGAAAAGTCTGTTTCTATGGTAACCCCGAAAGTGCAAGAAATCGACGTGTCTTTGCTCCGGACTTACATGGTTGTCTGGTATCCGGGACGAACTCGATGTTCAACAATATTCGGTCTACCAGTGCCTGCTCGCAGTAAGTGGCTCGTATGAATGCATCACTGAATGAATAAAAATTGCTAAGTAAGCTGATCCTAGTGTTCGCACGCTGGAAGGCCTGGTGTTGCTCGTATTCTCGATTCTCGTGTGCAGTCATGCGTGCTGCCAGTCAGAAGGATGAACACGAGACAATCTCCATGATCCACATCTGGATGACATAAGCCCTTTGGCTTTCGAATTAAGCCATCAAGTGTTGGCATCTTTGTTTGGCTGATGATCCCCACCGGGTATTCATATGTACATGGCCAGCTTAGCAACATATGTTAGGAAATCGTGGGGATGAGTAGCTTATTGATGCATGTCGGTTATGGCCATGCCCTAAGGCTTGTAGCTTTAATTACCCTGGCTACGCGTTTACCATTAACTTAAAACTTAGGTACCACTGTGGCGCTCAGGCGGGCTTGCTAAGGAGCGCCATAGCGAAAACGGATGGTCTCCTTGAGTCGGAGACAAGGCACTGGAGAATGTTTGGTGTGGTCGAGTGCTGCTGACACACTGTTCCTTTTCATTATGAACTTTCGAAGCAGTAGAAACCATTCGGCTAGGCAGTACTCATTAAAAAACAACCAAAGGTCATAACAGATCACATCGACCTCAGTTATGCGTAGCAAGCTTGTTCACTGCCACCTGCATCTTTAAGAACATACGTGTAATTTCTGACCCCTTTCTTGCCCTCGCCGGATTCCCTTCAGCATTTTAAGTCGATACAAACTGCGCACAGATCAATGGACCCTCAAACCAAGCAAACCGATTAGGGGCAGTTTCTCCAGCAGCCTTCAGGAACATGCTTGAAAAGTTAAGAACAAAGCCGCACGCGATGTTGTTGGTACTGTATGTACGGTATCAAACTTTTTATAAGAATGCGGTGTTGCTGGATACTTCCGCAGTCTTTTTGGCAGCATCGTTTCACAAGAATGTCATTCTTCGTTTGGCCAAAAACTAACATTATGCAAGACAGACAGGATATTCATACCCATCAAATTAGTTGACTTTGTGTGATCAGCAATACCCAAAACAGGAAAATCTGCCTGTCACTATGGACAGATGCAGCCCAGTATATGCTTCTTTATGTCAGCCCATCTGTCACTCACATATCCATCCGGTAGGAATTATGAATAAACGAATAAGATATTCTCTTGGTGAGTTGTTGTTTTAATTGAATAATTTTACAAATAAACGAATGGGGTACTCCTGTAAGCTGATTCAATCATCTTAGTTTTTTACATGAAAAATTATAACCTGTTATCTACTGAAACATTGTTGAGATACTATTCACTTCGTCCGAATTTCTAGAATGTTGTCACCGCACACATTTTATATGCGACCTATTTTAGTGTGCTTCTGACCTACTTTTGGGGGTTATTACACACTGCGCATTTTTGGTGGTTCTCTTGACAAGAATGCCGGCTTGTAAGTTTCAGATTTTGAACTAAGTTGAGACAATACTATTATTAAGGATGAGAAGAATAGTTAGATTGAAGATTTAGGTATACGACATTGCTAGGCATACAGAGGGTGTCGGTGGAATACAAATTATTCTATGATTATTCAGTTCGATACCATACATCTTAGACCTGAATTACCTAAGGAATTAAGAGTTATTTTCCCTAACAGCTTTTATGCTTGTGGTAAAGTGATCCGTGGTCACGTATCCTCGACTGCGAGCAAGGAGCTATTTTTGTTGTCATCCAAGACGGACATGAATATGCGTGCAGGATTAAGAGGATGTATCCTGTCAAGATAATATTATTTTTTCGAAAGCATTACCATCGTCTTCGTCGGATTAAGCGGGATAATATCCCACTCGATCTGAAAGCCCTCAAAGACAAAAGATTGAAGTACTGGATTAAATAGCGGAAAACCTGTGTATAAGCATCAAATATTGGGTGGAAAATATTTTGCACAAATTACGTCATCCTGGCTTCCGTACCTTCGTAAACCTGAGTCTTATTTGTCTGCTAATTTATAACATCTTGGAAATACAGTCAGTCTTAGCGCAAAAATGCCTGCTCACTAACCTACTGATAAAACCGCCTGCGGAAGCGCCATACAAGTGTGAAGACTATGGTTCTTAAGAGTTCAACGGAAATGTAACCCCCCCTTCCAACCGGAACCTGTAAGGCAGCCTTTAGCCGAATAACGAGCTTTCCAGTAAGACCCGTCTTATGTGGCTCGATTAAAAACCATGGTCGACAAAGAGGTGTTGCATAATCCTGCAGAAACTCGTTGGTACATTGACCGATAAGCCTAATTTCAGCGTCGGAGTGAATCGGTGATACCGATCGTTAACGTGAAAAAGATGAACCGGGAAGAATGAAGTCATGCGTGCACAAACAATAGGTTCGTCGTCATGGCATAATCATTAATAAAAGAGATATAGCAGAAACAAATTTTAACCTAGTTCGTTCAATGAGAAGAAGAGTTGTAAACGAGAGATTCATTTGAGTTTCCTGTGAAAACCAAAATGATATGTAAATGAACGTATTTGTCGAAACCTCTCGAAATTGGGTTCAATTGGAACATAAGGTTGACGGAAACTCGAGGGGACTGCGCCTCCCTGATGAGCCCCAAAAAGAGCAAAACCAGTCGTGGGCTGTCGAAGAGTTTTCAGCAAACTTGTGGGAGTTTCTTTTATGAAAATATGCTGCGATATCTCGAATATCATGTCAACTAAAACAAGAGGCAGTCTTTGTACAGCGCAATCAATTTAGGAATATCATAGACGGGAGATCCAGTTCAGTCTCTATTGAAAACCACGTGGGTTGGCAAGTAGTGAAAAATGTGGCTGAATAATTTAACTCAGAGTAGTTTGTCTCTACAGAACTGATTGTAATTCTGGCAATCCCGCCAGTAGGTCATATAAAATAAGGTTTACTAAGCCTTACCAGTACAGGCAACTAGCCTCTTTTTAAAATAATAATCGATAGACCAAAACAATCTGACACCCGATAGTTACTGTGGATACATAACGGATGCATACCCAGTCTCAAATGAAAACAGGCCTCAGTATGTGGAAGCGTTACTCCTTAATTCATGTATCTTTTCTGTCTGGTTTACTGACGCCCTAGCGATATTTTCTACCTGGGTGTCCGGTGATACTCTTCAATCGTGCCACATACGTGACTAGCAAATTTAACCAGTAGAACCACCGATTTGACTGCGACACACACCCTCTTTGTTTATTGTTTCGTCTCGGAGATTTTGGTTGCCATGGTAGCAACCCTGCTTCAGTGAAACCCTATTATGAATAATATTTTCGAAAAACACGAACAGGACAGGGAATCTCATCAATTTGGAACGAATAACCAATCAGAGTGACCTTCGTTTGCGTTTTGTTTCATGGGCGAGCGATGAGAACAACAACAGATGCTCAACAAAATGAGGCAGAGTTATTGTTGCGGAAGAAATTGCTACCGTATTTCTATTAACAAGTTTCTATGTTTTCTAACATCAAATAGGTCATTGTGTGAGCCAAACAACTTTACAACTTTATAAACGGCTTGCCAGCTTGAGGTGAATGTGCGCTGGATACGAAACTACTTCAGCCACACCAGTGCTGTCATGAGAACCATCAGATGGACATCAAGGGATTACACAAGTGTCCTCTTGATTAGAATTTTTAGGTTATGCTTGAACCGTACGTTTGCCAACCAAACTTTACAGCGCATGAATTTCTTCATGAAATAATTCGCTCAGTCATGTATTTTTTAGTTGAATTTAGGATGAGTATTTTGGAGATAATCATGCTCAACAATAACAGCAGTCAGATCACATTGGGGTTGTTTCTGTTAGCATCCAAGAACGATGAAACCACAATTAATTCAAGTTTCCAGTTTAGCCTTAAACTTTTATTCTTTTCAGTCTAGTCGGGGAGTTTTCCCTGCAATAGGATTTTTCAGTTTTGTTATTGGAATTCGCCATATGGACCCACAATATAGGGATGACATGTGCTCTGGTAATCATTTGCTAAACTAATTAGGCTCGTTTTGTTTTCACACAAAAATGTATTCTACACAAGTGTTTGGTTCGCGACCGACTTGTCCGGATGTACAAAAGGACCCAAGCCGTGCATCCGTTAAAGTAAATGTTATTCTTTAGTTCAATCGTCCTTTGTCGTTGATGCCGAAGTGGTTTATTCTCATCGAGGCAATGCCATTGAATATTATGAAAATATCCACTGTTTTACCCCAACAACGTAAAGCCTCTGCTGTTGGTTTCTACGTGTCTAACTGATGTTTTCGGATAAATTTGTCCCAGATGCAGTATTACAGGTGTAAGGGATTCCCCGAGAGCCACTGTTGCCAGGGGCATATATATATATATACAACGTTGGTAATGAGAGGAGACTTGAGAATTTTTTATTGAAGATTTCGTCTTGTCAGTGAAGCCGGTCTGTGTTGAATAGTCAAGAAGCACCACAGATGTTTTATGCTAACTGGGACTCATCGGTAGAGCGCATATCATGAAAGTCTAGGGATTATCGAACCCGTGACGTCCCAGCTAACAGTTTGTACACTCTCTAGCTGAAGTCTGCTTGAAAAAGTGACAGTTGTGGGAGCGCCAGGCATGAACAAATCAAGTTTGGTAGACAGCTCGAAACAAGATTAGATTATCTGTGCAACTGCGTTAAAGAACTGACCCAAAGAGTCTCAAAAAGCCAAGGTCTGTTCACTAATGNTAGACAGCTCCAAGATTAGATTGTCTGTGCAACTGTGTTAAAGAACTGACCCAAAGAGTCTCAAAAAGCCAAGGTCTGTTCACTAATGTGTCTGGAAAACAAGCAAATTCCGTTTTTGAGTTTTGATATCAAGTTACATCTTTAGACAGGGCTAATACTATAGCTCAGTAGATGGGAAGTGGCGGGGACAGTCAAGCGAATATGCGCACACCACAATCCAGCAAGCAAAAGGATCAAGAGTATACGGAACTTAACGAACTGAAACTGCACACCGAGAACGTATCAAAAACGATTGTCGAGTGAGCGGAAATTCCACTCATCTTG